AAGAATGAAGGTAGGGGTTCAGGGAGATGGCTCAGTGGAATAAGTGCTTCTCTGGCAAGCGCAAGGGCCTGAGTTCAATCCCCGGTTCCACACACACACACACACACACACACACACACACACACACAAAGGTAAATGGATAAAGGTAAAAACAGTGCCTAAAACAGGTCAAAAAACAAAATGAAGTGGCAAGTGTAAACAGGCCCAGGCAGGCTTCCTTCCTACCCTTCCTTAGTGGTTGGTCTCCACACCCCGAATCTTCATCTGCACAGGCCAGGTGCACAGGTGGTCTCTACTGGCCCGGCCACACGAGTTAGTATCCCCCAGGCATCTCAGCCCTACCCAGCCTGCTGCCCCCTGGGAAGAACAGCCGCTCTCGTGTGCCAAAGCACCCGCTCACCAGACAACACCAGAGGTGCCCGAGCCCGAGGCCTCCCAGCCAAAGGCAACAGTAGTAAGACATCAGCAAGCTGGGGAAGCCAAGGGCACCAGAGAAAAGTGCAGGGACCACCACTTCTGAGGAAGGGTCTTTAAGGAGACTGCCATGGACACTGCCTCACAAACAAGTTCTGACTATTGAAATGGGGAGTGCAGTCCCCAAGAACAGAGTGGAGTTACACCCGGGGAGGGTTCATCAGCACGCTTAGCTGTGTGGCAGCCTCTCCATGACTCTCACGTGTCTGAGATGGGTAGAATTCTTGCCATTTCATAAATTCTGAAATAGGCTGGTGAGATGGCTCAGTGGTCTAAAGCACCTACTTAGAACAAGCTTAGCAACGCACAGGGACCCTGGTTCGATCCCCCAGCACCACATGCCAGCCAGCCCCGCCCCCTGGTGGACTGAGCCGGCCACCAAATAAATAAATAAATAAATAAATAAATAAATAAATAAATTCTGAAATAAATGGCTTGCTCTCCATGGCTTGTCATGGTGACACAGGACTTGAGCACACCTCAGCTCCTGAGCCAGACCCTCAGCTGCTGCAGTGACAGTGGCAGTCACAGCTGCAGCCAGCATTAACCACTGCTCACCTGGAGGAGCCTGAGCCAGTAAGAGCCAGAAATAGCCAAAGTGGCATGCACTCCATGTGTCCCGAGTGTGGCCTTGCAGGGGCAGCTGGCTTTCAGGTCCAGCTGTTAGGTTATCAGTGCACCCCGTCTCTCCCATCCCACTCCACAGCCATGACTGGGAGCCAGCTCCAGAGCCCAAGGCTGCCAAGAAGCTCTAGGGTGGGGGCTCTAAGTGCTTGCACTAATTCACAGAGGATGACAATGCCGCATTAACTATGCAGCAAGCCTTCTCCTGCTTGCTGCTGGGCACATGGTGCAAGCTCCTCCCAAGCACAGGCTCTAAAATCCCCACAGAAAGTGGCTCACCTGTGTGTCAAGTCCCATTGAAATGGATGACACGCAAAGGGCTCTCCACCTGTCCAGAATGACTCATCCCAGAAATGGCAAGGCTGTCTGGGCCCATGTATGCTCCACGTCCCCTCGGTGAGGCCCCAGGCTGCTCCAGCTCACTGTGCAGCGTGCTCTGGACTGCACAGGTGGCCACTTGGAACCTGGCAGCACCTTGTCTCAGGTCATGCCCCTGCCTCGCCAAGGAAAACAGACCGCCAAGCTGCTGAATTAAAATCTCCATTTATTATTTTTTTCTTTTCTTTTTTTTTTTTTTTACAAAAATCCGACATAGGACCATTGTGCTCGTGGTTGAGGGCGGGGCGATGGATGTGGCATGACAGCGCAGCACTTCCTCACAAGGAGTGCTTCAAGCTGGGCAGCTCCGGCCAGTGCTCCCCGCCTCTCAGACCAACGGGACCCCGTTCTCCCTCTCCCCAGTACAGGCTTGCGCAGAGGCCTAGCCCACATCAGACAGACAAGCTTGGTGCAAAAGCCCAGCACAGCCCAGAGAGCACCTGGGTGGCTGCTCTTGGGAAGCCAAGTCCAGGTGACAGCCAAGGGGCCAGGAGGGCTGCTCTCCTATGTCAGAATCCCTGCTGGGTCCCCTCCCACCTGGGAGAGTGGCAACTGTCATTTCCCAAAAGCACCTGTGAGGCCACACGTGGTGTCCTATTGTTCATCTTGTACTGCAGCGAGTCCTTAAGGACAAGCCAGTTTCCACTATGGCCTGCATCTGGTGTCCTCTAAGCTAGTGTCCAAACCCAGCCATCCATCTCTGTTGCTCTGATGTCACAGCCTCCCTGAAGCACACAGTAATGACATCCACTGAGTGACAGAGACACTCAGAACTCCTGGCCTGGCCCAACAGAATGGGCTCTGACCACACAGTCTGCTGCTCCCAACATGGGCCCACTGTGTCAGTGTCCAAGTTCTTCATGTTAAAAGAAACAAGATAAAATAGCAGCCACAGATACAGCTTAAAACACCACACTCTTTGGCTCTCCTGAGAGAAGGAGGCTACTACTAAAAAGAAGTCAGGAAAGGGCAGTAGCAGGGGGCAGGGAGCCTGGGCCCTCTGCTAGTCAGACGTGTAACTCAGGTTTCCCAGGGAGCAGTCCGATACTGCCTGCCAGTGAGCAGAGGTCCCTGGGCCCACCAGGCAGTGGGGGGCCACAGGAAAGAACCCATTCAGACAGACAGGAGTGAGTACCCCAGGAAAAGCAGCACAGGATGTCAAGGTCCAGGGAAGACAGGGCGGGCTTAAGGCATGTGCATGACCAGGACAGACCTGAGCTTTTGTTCTGTTTCTGGAAAACTACTCAACTCTACTTCAAGAAAGTGGAGCTCGGAAAAACAGAAGTCAGGGGCCAAATCTCTGATGAATGAGAACCCTCCATTTCCCTGTGCCACCATAACCAAAATGAGCTTATTTCACTTGGAGCTCAGGGAGCAGAAATTTAAACCAACAAAAGAAAATGGCCAAGTGGGTGCAAATTCCTGGCCAGTGTGGGCCTCCCACCATCCTGGCACACCCAGAACCTCAGAGGTCCTGCAGCCAGCCCATCCTTTGGGATCTAAAGCCACAGGGAACAGTGGAGGCCCAGATAGGTGTGTTTCCCAAGATGGCTCCCCAAAGCTAGAGCCCTGCCATATGCTTTCCCATCCAGAAGGCAAGACCCTCAAAGGACGTACTCCCCGACTGCAGAGCCCCAGGCCAACCTGGCAACACAGCATGCAGCTTCCGCGCTCCCATCTAAGGGCCAAAAATTGCCATACCCCAACCCCAAAGCTAGTTTCTTACGAGGTGGGCAAGCCCATCCTTGCACCATTCTCTGCTTCCTTACTGTCTCCCAAAACAGGGTGAGAATGAGAATGGGGCAAAGTCCTGGGGAGTGTGGCCTAGACAGTTCTTCAAAGCCACCAGGTCCAGTGGAAGCCACTCAGAGCTCACAGAGGTGCAGGTCCTCCCAGAGCCACCCATGGGAAGAACCATGTCACAGATGAACAAGGACAGGCACAAACACACACGGCTTGTCTTGTCCTCAGAACCCCAAGAGGCCAAGCCCATCCCTCTCCTGCTTCTGGGCTCAGATGCCCCTTAAGCAAGGAGATGAGAGGCATACGCCAGCGCACAGTGGCCAGGTTCCACCTCCACTGAAACACGGAACACAGGGCTGGTGGGTACCCGCCTTAGGGAGAGGGGCAATGACTTCCACCAACTCCCCCCACCACATGTATACGTATGTATATGTATGTGACTGTGTGCATATATATGTATATACACCCATATATGTATATATGCACACTTGTATAAATAAACCTTGAACGGCGGATCTGGAACTTTCTTTTTAAATAATAATAGCTGTTACTGAATTTAAAAACCTCAAACCACCTGTCCTGGGCTTATGAACTCACGAGTGACTCTCTGAGTCCCCGTGGTCCTCAGTGTACGCTATCATCAGTGCCCTGTGTGGAAGCCCCGATCTGCTGACCCGGGTTCCAGGCCCAGTGTGGCCGACTTCATGATAAAGGCAGCCCTTTGCCCTCCACTCTTCCTGCTGCCTCTCCTTAGCAGAGGTGTGGGCCACCCACCCAGCAGATGTCTCCAAGGTCCTTCAGTGCCTGGGACCTTGGAAGCCACCTCCCTTGCTCTGCCTGCCCTTTCCCCAGCTCGCGGTGCCCCTAGATGAACTTGAAGCACTTGGTCTTGTCATGCGGCAGGCGCGTCTTGAACAGCACAGAGTCCACCCTGAACTGCGTGTACAGCAGAGGCATGTAGCCGTACACCCTGACAAAGAAGTTGATACACTTGTGCCGCTCATGGAAGTGGGAATCATCATGTGACAGGGCCTGAGGGCACCCTGGGCATCGAAAAGTCCAGCGGGAGGTCACCTGGGAAAACAGAAAAGAACACAGTGACAATCACAGCGCTGACACTGACAGGGACTTGACGGTTCTGTTGACTCAGTGACCTGGTAAACCAGGCCTGCAGACTCATGAGTCACCACCGGGTCCCGTACGGACCTGAAACCTTTAGGACTATGAAGGCATCTTTTCCCAATGGGCTCCACTTAGCAAACAACTAAAGCCTCTCAACACTAAGTTTAATTTGGCTCAGTAATTCTATTCCCAGTATTTATCTTGGTTGTACAGCAAGACACTGGTACAAAGTGCATTCAGTAGTAAAATACTGGAAAACAATCCAACACAGGAACTTAACCACGGCCAGTATATAAGAGTACTGAACTGGGCTTTCTGGTGCTGACTGTGAGCTGGCTTACTATAGCCCAAACCTACTTAGTAATTTTAAAAACCTCAAGTTTCTAGAACTTCCGAGGGTAATTGCACTTTTGAGTAAACACCTTATATAAGTACCTTCCTACACACCAGGCACTGTTCTTAGAGCTTTCTGTGCATAAGCTCAGGACTTCTTACTTTGTAAGAATGATGGACACACGCACCCGCCCATCTGCCAATCTGGTGAAGCCTGGACTCCTCCTAATGTCTTTAAATAAAACACATGGGATTATAAAAGAAACTATGCTGAAAAATACTAACATACATGCTGTCTTATTAATGTAACAAGATGTAGGGAAAGGCTAACAACTGCCTTAATGCCAAACAATGAAGAACAGAAATATCACTTGAGATATTGCAACAAATGTGATACATAATTCTCTGTGATTTCTTCTATCTAATAACTTAAGGTCACAGTGAATAAAAATAAAGATACCTGAGTTTATGGAGGTTCCAACCCCTCTGAGTCCCAGCCATCCACCCATTCACCTATCAATCACCCTTAGAATTAAAGGTCTGGGAGTATCCACTCAATTAATCCCATGACAATCCTGAGGGGCAGTGGTGTCCTCACCCACTTCAGAGAGGCGCCCTCAGGTCAGGACATCAGGAACTGCCACAGCCCGACAAGGGAATGCTGTCTGCACACACCCAGGCCCCACGTCTCGGGTCCTCACCTTGATGGGGGGTTTCCGAGTGATATGGGAGACAAGGAAGTTCATGGCAATGTCCTCACAATTGATGTATTCGTCCACCATGTCTCGGATGGCCTGGGGCATCACATACGAATACAGGTAGGCGTAATACTGCCAGGGGAAGAACGGCAATCGCACATCATTAAAGGACAGTTTTTAGCTTTCAGCAAAAACCTACACGGGTCTAAGGGCTGGGGTTCAGACGAGGCAGTAAATGAAAAGCAGCCCGCGTGAAGCTGGGGCTGGGGCTGCAAGCACCTTGCAGTGAACAGTTACCCTGCTGAATGCCAGTGTTGCCCCCTCTCTGAGAAGCAGAACTGCACCAAGTCTTGCTGGTGTCTCAGAAAGTGAAAATCAGTGTCAAAACTTGTCAGACCAAGGCAGACACTGTTCAGGTGGACAATCTTCAGCCTCTGAGAGGTGAACACCTGGTTACAGTCTCAGACTTCAGTCACAGAGCCACGAGGCATCTGATCCATTACAGCCTCACTAATGGATTCTTGCATCGGGGAAGCGGTTTGTTTCTGGATGTCCACCCAAAGTCTCATGCACTCACGGGGGGAGGTGGTCAGAGCACAGGGCATGATACCCATCAAGGATTGATCAGTCCCCTGATGAGGGCATAGCCAAATGTGACACTGTGAGGAGGTGGGTTACTATGGCATGGCCCAAAACGGTCCATCTCCCTCCCCACTCCACAGCCCACTCTGCTTCCAGCCACCACGCAGCTTCAGCTGTGTGTCTTCACTCTGCCACGCTGCCTGCTTTGGAGCCAGCCAACTACAGACTGGGCCTCTCCCAACTGTGAGCCAAAAGCAACTTTCCTCCTTTGAGGAGGTACCTTTCTCCACCCGCAGTGAGAAAGTAAGGAGGCGACTTCCTGCCATTGCCACACACTACTCCCTGCCCAGATGACTCAGTCTTCCCCAGTTTCCCTGCTACCTGTCCTCCTTCCAGGACTATATTCTCAGCACAGCAGAGACCATGTCAGAGCAGGAAGCCAAGTGAACGTGCCACACCCTTCTCCTACCCTCACAAGACTTCCTGTCTCTCTCGGAGGAACAGCCACTAAGCCAGGCACAACAGCGGCCCAGTTGTACAGCTGCAATCCCAGCCACTGGAGAGACTGAGGCAGGCAGGAGGAGAGCGCACCCAAAGCCAGCATAAGCAACATAGCAAAACCCTGTCTCAAAAAAGCCCCATGAAGTGGTGGTACACTGAAACAGACACCTGCTGACAAGTTCTAACCACTGACTCCTAGAAAGTAATTATGTGAGCTAAAAATTAATGTAATAAATGTCCAAAACTTATTACTCCTTAATGTCTACTGAGCTGGCAGACACTGTGTATGGGGGCACAGCACACACTCCTTTTCCCTCCCTCATCAGTGACTCACGCTGATAACCTAAAAGCAGCCGAAGCCCAAGACTGACACCACAGGAATCGGAAAACACAAGAAATGTCAACTTCAAGAAACTGCAAGAGCCTGGTGATGGGCCAGGGAGCTAGCTCAGCAGCACAGTACCTGACTGGCAAGCACAATGTCCTGAGTTTGATTCCTGGTACCCCACCCCCAAAAAGAGCCTGGTGACTAGCAAATTAATAGGGTGGAGCCAATTAAACTGACTTGCATATTGTATCACCTCAGTATAAATCTATATGAATAATAACGATAAAACATTTTTCAGCATAGTAGTGTGCTGGTTAATGTGCAGAACATACTTCAATGATTTTAAGAATGAGTTATACTTTTTAAGTAAAAAGATTTAAAATAATTCTAACTTATTAACCCCTTAAATAGCCCACTGTCATGATTAGTATCTAATGAAAACACTACCTTTCCTTCAAGGAAAAAGTGACATTTTAACAACAAGCAACAGCAATTTTAAAAAAATAATGAAGTCTGCTTAGGCAGAGCGCAGTGACCGGGGTTCAATCCCCAGAGTGCTGTGCTGGTCCTGCCCCCAAGGCGTGCTAAGACAGCGACTGAGACTGGGCATGATGGCACAAGCCTGTAATCCCAGCACTTGGGAGGCTAAAAACAGGAGAATCACTGAGTCCAATCTACGTAGTAAGACCCTAGTGAAGAGAACCTACATACCTTGTACTAAAATACAGAAAAATTTAAAAAAATTAAAAAATAAACCATTATGAAAATAAACATTTGGAAATACCTGCAATGATTTTTGTTGCCAAAATGTTTTATATTAATCTATTAAAATGTGTATCTTGGCCAGATAGCTCAGCAGATTAAAGCGCCTGCTTAGACAGATGCAGGGACCAGGGTTTTGAAAACAGGAGAATCATTACGAGTTCAATCTGTGTAGTGAGACCCTGTAGACTCTGTACTACACATTAATAATAATAAAAATAAACCTAACCTCTTTTTAAAAAAAAGTTTTGGGAGGTGGAACCTGAACTCCAATCCAAGGCCTAATGTATACCCCAAATATGCTCTACCACTGAGCTACAGTCCCAAAAAAGCTCTTTAAATGAAGTTTTGTAGATTTAGAATCTAGTCCAAAATACAAAAATGCAACACCTATCAGTCTGCCAAAGAAAGTTTGCCACAGAAGATAGAAGTCACAGTCTCTATAAAAATATTCTCAAGCTGGTAGATAATACTGGAATACATGAGTGTCATGATTTAAGCACAGCCATTAGGTACTTTTTCCAGGGACAGTAATTAAAAGTATAAAAACATTGAGTAGGGCAAGACAGTGCACACCTGTAGTCACAGAATTCAGAAAGCTGAGGCAGAAAAACTGCTTGAACCTAGGGTTAGCAATCACTCAGGGCAAAAAAGCAAGATACATTCATTAAAAAAAAAAAAAAAATTCTATAACTTGACATAACACAGGATGCCTTCAGGGCATTTTAGTGTGGCTTGAGGATCTGGGGATCAAACCACAGCAACCTGAGCCTGACTGCTCTGTTTAAGCAGTCACTTAAAGAACTGTGCTAATGGACAGGCCCCCCAAAATCAATATTTTCAAATTAATAAACATAGTCAATTACATTGCTTTCACTAAAACTGAAGAATTCAGGGAAAACATGTTGAAACTTCTAAGTATCTTAACCTTCAAAAGATTTCTGTAACTATAGCACACATGTAATTTATTATACATAAATACAGTATACATACATATGGTACATGTCCAAAAAGTTTTACTAATAATAGGCACTTATGAGGAAGATCAATGTAATTACCACTAGGGGCAAGTAAGCAAGGCAAGTGACATGTCAGACAACGTGAATATGCAAGCTAGAAGTGCGGGGCCGACAAGTGCGAACAACCCTCTCCAGGGAGTTCCATGGCTCCAGCCAGCTGCAGCTGAACCCCACAAGGGCTTCATCTTCATTTTCATTGCAGTCCAGACTTTTTGGAAAATCCTGTAATTTTAAAAGTTGGCAGTGTCTAAGGCAACACTGGGGATCCAAAACAGTTCTGTGAGCCAAGTGTGGCTCAAGGGCTTAAATTTGTAACCTCTGTTCCAGACGTTCAAATGGAAAAAATATGAAGCTTCGTTAAGTAAATTATTTCTCTAAAACTAAAGGGATCTGACCATTAACTTTCAAAGAGCAATCAGTGTTTGAACAGGCAGACCCCTCTGCAGACAAGTCAACTGTCAAGGTAGGAGCAAGCACTGAGAGAAGCCCTGGCTCCTGAAGGGAGCAACTGTGGAAATAAATGACTTCTCAAGAGGCCTGGTTTCCCAGGCAACCATCATCCGACTCCCTGGCCTTCTCCCCAGCCCTGCCACGGTCCGCCAAGTTGGGAAAAGAAATGAGATGTGTACAGCAACCTCACACATTGTTTTAAAAAGAAAAAGCTGAAAGTTTCACGACTTCTTAGTCTAGTTCAAAATGTCCCTAAATATGGCTTTAAGGTTTACTCCATGGTGGGCCCATGGTGAGGCAGAACACAGCAGCAGGAGCAGTGGCAGAGGAGGCTGCTCACCTGACGGTAGCAGGAGGAAACAGAGGAGAAGGCCAGGTCCTTAAAACCCTTCAAGGCCACACCCCCAGTGACCAACTTCCTCCAACTAGGCTCACCTCCTAACACTCTCACCACCCCCTAATGTGCTATCATCTGGGGGAGCTTTGGGGACCTTTAAGATCCAAGCTACAATGCCAGCTTCAGCCTTCTGAGGCTGGCTCAAACTGGAATGGCAGTGCTGAAACAGAAGCTGTCTGACAGGTCTCTTGGCCCCGTACCCCAGGTTCACTGAAGTAGAACTCCAGGAAAGAGAAGCCAGAACCTCCCTCTGGGCTGTGTAGCTCTACAGACACCCTGCAGCCTTTTTATTGCAGAGTTGTTCTAAGCATCTTGATTAGTGCCTTCAAAAACAGAAATGACCTCTCACATATAAGTGTCATGCAGAAAGCAGGAGGGAAACGACGGCTTAGAGCAGCAGTTCAGTACTACACAAAAGCTCACTCCCAGGCAGGTAACACTGCAACCAGCTCTCTCACCTTATGAAAGAAGGCAGCACCCGTCAGCACCATGGACAGCTCACAGGAGTAGTTGGAGTTGTAGAGCCAGGACTGGTGAGGGATGTCCCATGCATGGTACCGGCCAGGGAAGCCAACAATGCGGTCCCGCGCTTCTCTCCACACCCTCAAAAACAGAAGTGGGAAGAGCTTTGCTGAGTACGCAGCTCTCAGGTATCAGAACTGTGAAAAGAGCTTCAGGCTCTTGGCCTGTGGGTTTCTTTTCTTTATATAAAATCAATCACAACCCCAATAGAATAAAAACCAATTATCCAATAGGATAAATAGTACTGTAGAAAGCTTCTTTATGAAGTATCTGTTTAGTACCTACCCCCTCATTTTTGTCAGCTATCATCTCTCCTGCCTGTTGGAAAGAACAGAGATAATACAGGAAGAAATTTCCAGAATACGGTAGGTATAACAATTTGCCAAGAAGCAGGAAGAAGGTATTAATTTCTATTTGTATGTATGTATGTATGTATGTATGTATGTATGTATTTGTTTTGTGGAACTAGGGATTGAACTCAGGCCCCTGCACTTGCCAAACAAGCACTTATTCCACTGAGCCATCTCCCCAGCCCCTATTGGTATTTATTTTAATCTTTTGTATTTTTTTTTAACATTTATTTATTTTGTGTGTGTGTGTGTGTGTGTGTGTGTGTGTGTGTGTGTGGCCAGCTCAGCCCACCAGGGGGCGGGGCTGGCTGGCATGTGGTGCTGGGGGATTGAACCGCGGTCCCTGTGCTTTGCTAAGCTTGTTCTAAGTAGGTGCTTTAGACCACTGAGCCATCTCACCAGCCCAATCTTTTGTATTCTTGAGACAGGTTCTCACTACGTAATTCAGGCTGGCCTTAAACTCATGACAATCCTCCTGCCTCAGCTTCCTAAGTGCTGGGGTTACAGTCATGCACCATCAAACCTGGCTCTAATTTAATTTCTGAAAGATTTATTTTAATGAGAAAGATTCATTAGTTCAATTGGACATGTACGCACATAATAACAGCCACACAGTGCATGCTTAACTTTATTTTCTCTAGGAGGGTGCACAGTGAGAAAAGTTTATAAAGACCCCTGCTCTGTTCTCTGCAGAGGGTTCCTTCAGGAAAAGCACTGGCCCTAAACTGTGCAGGGCTGATGAAGAAACTGCCTCTTAAGGTGAGAGCAATCTAAGGAAACATACAAATGGCATATCTCTTTAAATGCAAGAAACAAACTGAGAACTCATTATGTTTCAGCAGAAACCCAACACTTCCAAATTTATAGGTAAGGTAGAACAAACAGAATCAGTCCCCAGTTCCTCCTGGAAGCAGAAGCTGAAACTCCACAGAACCCAGCCTGCCCTGAATGGGCTACGAGCCAGAAGCTACTGAGGACCCCTTGCCACTGGCAGGCAGCTCCAATCTCTAAAGCATGGAGGTCTTCATTTCAAAGCAGCACCTCTCTTAGTAGTTTGAAAGGAACAATTCGAGTTTAAAATGACAAATCCAAACTGGCACAGTGTAACAGCCTTCTGGGGGCTTCCTTTTAGACAGCTGACTTTTTATTGCACCAAATATGCACATAGCAAGTACCATTTTAACCTTTGGTAAGGACGCATAGCTCAGAGACATTAAAGATAGCTATACTGCTGCGCCACCAGCAGCACTATCCATCTCTAGAACTCTCCCATCTTCCCAGGCTGAATCTGTGTCCTTCTAGCAAGACCTTCTCATCCCACCCCAGCCCTTGCCCTGCCCACTTTCCTTCCTGTCTCTCTAGAGTAGATTCTCTAGGGGCCTCATGTAAGTGGAATCATTCAAGATTTAGCCTTCCGGGTTTTCTCTGACAGATGCTACTGCTACAAATGATCATATCCGCCTTGTGGGTGGACATGTGTTTCCATTCTCTTGCATGTCTGCCTTTTGCTTGACAATTTGGGTTGAAGTTAGTCAAGGTCTACATTTTGCCAGAGAGAAGAATTCTTATACTCAAATTTTTTTTCCTGTAAAACCTAGGTCTATTTCACTCTCATTCAAGGGAAATAAACAAATTGGGGAATAGAAATAAAGTTCTTAGAACAAAGGATGCTCAAACTGGTACCAGTGGGGAAAGGGTAGGCTATACAGCCAGACACAATTCACCAGTTCTACTACCCACGGCTAACTCCATATCTGAATGATTAATAGGCGCATTAAAAGGCATCCCAGCCAGACATGGTGATGCATGCCTGTAAATCCCAACACCAGAGAGGCTAAGGCAGGAGGATCATTGCAAGTCTGATGCTAGCCTGGGCTACACAGTGAGTTCAAGGCCAGCCTGAACTACATAGTGATACCCTATCTCAAAATAAAAAAAAAAAAAAAACCCTACAGAAGCATCCCATTATTTTCTTACCACCTGAAAATCTGTAGAAACATGGCAGCGCAAAGGTCAAAAAGCTTCTAAATCAGGAGCCCCAGGAAGATAGGATATGCCAGTATACTGATGAAATTCAAACTCATCAAAGCGGAACTCCTCTGAATCATCCTTGGGATCCAAAGGAGATGGCAACTCTCCTGTTGACACCACAGCTCCACTCACAGCACCAGAGTCTCCACAGACACTGTGTCAGGCCACCAAAACCCCCATTCCTCACTACCAGTGACCACCTCTGCAGCAGCAAAGAGCATTTCGGAGCTGTTTCATCACTTGCTTCCCTTCATAAAAACAGCTATTTATTATCAGGTACAAAGGAATACACCCCAATTTAGGTAGATTTCTTTTTAATCACAGCTAGCAACAGAAACTGTGCTTAAAAATATACTAGAAGGCCAAAGGAAATGTGGGAGGAGAAAAAGAGAAGATGTTGTAATCTGTCAGAAATGTGTCAAATTATTCTTTACAGATGGATTTAAGGTAGATCCAGCAGAGAAGTCGTTGATCCTCTCATCTCTTTTTATCTGTGCATCTCTGTGTACAAACTCAAGCCAAAAAAAGGAGCTGAGAGTTGGAGAGGTCAGGTTAGGTATTCAGAATGGAATGGAGACATACAGAAAAGAGCTTGCTCTCTCCTGAATCAACCTTAATTTGAACAAAACCTCCAATAACTCTCAAACTCTTTGTGGTCAACACGAAATTCACTATAGACTAGGGTTTTCTTGGGAAAAACAGTATCAAAATGAAATGCAGATTCTTTCTGGACTGGAGGGGCAAGGTCTCACTGTGTAGTCTGGGCTGGCCTTGAACTCATTGTATAACCCAGGCAAGCCTCTTAACTCACAACAATCCTCCCACCTCAGCCTCTCCAGAGATGGGATTATAGACATGTGTGCCACCACATGCAGTTTGTGTGGATTCCTAAATATGATAGCTACCACACAAAGACAGCATAAATCGATTGAACTTCATCAAAATTTAAAACTTTGTACTTCAAAAGATCCCACAAGAAAAGTGAAAAGGTAGCCCACCAAATGGGGAGAAATTATTTGCAGCTCATGTCCCTGATAAAGGTACTGCATTGAGAATACTTTTATAAAGAACTTTCACAACTCAGTAATAAAAAGGCAAATCATCCAAACAAAACAGGGGCAGGGAAGCCGAGACCGGATGATCTTTGTAAATTCAAGGGCAGTCTGGGCTACACAGTGAGTTTAAGCCAGCCTGACCTACACAGCGAGACCCTGTCTGAAGTAAACAAACAAAAAACTGCTATACAAGTTTTGAAATGCTTGCCCTCCCTTTTGTTACTCGCCTCACTGTGTATACAGAACAAGCTGACCCAGGTGCCACGCAGCATTCCTGTCCTGCGCCCTCACCCACTGTGCCCTCACTGAGCCCAAACAGCAGCCAAGTCCCCAGAGGAAGGGGCAGCAGGGTGCAGTGGCTGAGGACAGCCCGGCCTGGCCACCGCTCACCATCTAGTTCCATGGCATCACTGCAATCCCAGGGTCTACTCCGGGTATGACCCCCAGCCCCCAACCTCCGAGTTCTTCAAGGACCTGTGAGAAAACCAAAGTGCTGAGACAGGCGCTGCCACACGGCCCAGGCTCACTCAAGCTGAGCAGCAACAGCAGCAGAAGCAGCAGCACCTTGTTCCCCTCCCCTTTTCCCACTGGAGCTGTTTTCAAGCCCCCTTCCCCACATCTCTGTGGGCTCTGGATTCCTGCCCTGTTCCACTGCCTACAGAGAGCAATGAGTTCCTTCCCCCTGCCAGGAAGTCAGTTCCCACTGCTCTGGTCACAGGTTCCTCCAACTTCCTCTTACTCAGCCCACAGGGTATGCATCTGAGGGCCATGATCCTGCAGCTCCAGCCAACCGAAGCCGCCTGCCTCCTGGTGCAGGGGAAGAGCCCGAGTGTGCAGAGCAGAGCAGGTCAGCCAGTTCTACATCAGCCCTTTAGGCCGCCCAGCCCTCTGTCCACCCGTGACCCAACACATCCCTCTGCTGCCTCATCCAGGCTGGAGTTCTGTCTCTCAAAACAAAGTGTCCCTGGACACAGAATCACCCTCACCTAAAGCCAAACATGATCTCATCATGGCGGAGGTGGGCGTCATCGTCGATGGACAAGATGGCCTCCGTCTCAATCTCATTCCAAGGCAGGAAGCGATTGTTCAGACTGTTCTTCTCAGTCCGGACCACCTGCAGCAAGGGGGCAGAGACACAACGTCAGTGCTTGGGGGAGCGAAGGCCATCGGGACGTCCCCGCAGTCAGGGAAAACTGCACCATACAAGCTTAGGATTGCACCTCATTACTACTGCCCATCGGGTCTCGCACACACGTTTCAAGATGGCTACTACTCCCTGAGAATTCAAGAAATACACGATGAAGATTGCACATTTTAAGCTGTATTCATGGACTGATTTTCTCGTGGAAAAACTAAGGTGAGTGTTATTTTACAAAATCAATACCATCAGAGATTAAAAATAACTCTCAAGAGAACACAAGGTGGCAGAGCAGAACTGAGATTTCAGGCCTTACGTCCAGAACTACCCTGCCGGCCTATTCGTTTTAAAAACAATCTCAGATGGCCTTTTTTGGGCAGTTAAACTGAGTGGGGGTGGGGAACAGAGACTTGTGTTGACATAACTACCTCACCTTTGTAATGCCCATCCACTGTGCTGACTACACATACAAAAGCTCCTTTCTTTTTCAGTTTGTGAGACAGTTTTGCTTTATAGTTCAGGTTGGCCTTGAAGTTGTGGCGATCCTTCTGCCTCAGCCTTCCAAGAGCTGGATTACAGATATGAACCACCATGCATGGCTTGTCTTTTTAATTTTGAGACAGGGCCTTCCTATGTTGCCAAGGCTGGGCTCAAACTTAGGATCTTCCTCCTTCAGCTTACGACAAAGGTAGGGTTACAAGTGTGTGCCACCATTCCCCAAACACTTTTTATTCTCTTAGCTAAATTAGTCCCACTAATGAGCCATCTTTTATTTCTCAAAAGCAAAGAGAATCTTATGGGAACCCACCTTTTTACAAAGCTCATAGTGTCATTTTGCCTTCAACAGGTGGCTTTAACTTGTACAAATGACTAGCTCTACCTGGCTGGATGCACTCCTGGGCCCTCACCAGCCTCTTCAGCTCCCAACACCTTTCCTTCCATTCTTGTCTCAAAATCACTCTCCCTTTGAACACCCAGCTAAAAGCCACTTGTCATCCACACCCCACACCTGCCACTTACCAGACTGAATCACTTTTTCTGTGTTCTTGATGCAGAGAACTTCTACTTCAGCGAGTTTGTTCTAACATTCTTACAGTAAAATTCATTCAGATAGCAGGGCCTTGGAGATTATGTGGTCCAAGTGCGGCCTTGTAATGGACAAGCTAAGGCTAAGGTGACTCTATCATGAACGTGTCAAGCTGTAAGAGCCTGAACTCTCAGTGGTACCAATCACTCCAAATCCAGTCTTTTTACTGCTATACCAATATTAACTTTATTCATTTCATACTAAAGCCACCATTTAAAAAAAAGCCCTCTTTTTTTTTTTTTTTTGGCGGAACCAGGGATTGAACTCAGGCCCTGGCAAGCACTTATTCTACTGAGGTATCTCCCTGGCCCCTCCTCTCCTCTTCTGATCTTGTACTAGGGACTAAATCCAAGACCTCAGACATACCAGACAAGTGCTCTGCCTCAGAACTACACCCCTCAGTCATTCACTTTGAGACAGAGTCTAAATTGCTGGCCTCAAACTCACGATCTTCCTACCTCAGTCCCCCACATGGCTGGAATTACAGGCATGCCCTACCATCATACCTCTAAAATGCATTATTAATCTATGCATCATCAAGGATTCAAGTCAGTGGGCCAGTGTTCACATAAAACCAGATAAATCCTCCTGAACCTCCTGTGACCTTTCTGGTCTCAAATTCTATAACAAAGCTACTTTTAAGAGTTCAGAAAAGTTCTTGAACTGCAGGGATTTTGCTGCCCTTCCTCCTGGAAAGGGGAGGGGCTTCTGGCAATGTCTGAGGACATATTTGATTGTCACCACTAAGAAAAAATAAGGTGAGCTACTTAGACCTAGTAAGTACAGGTCAGGGATCCTGCCCATCTAAACACAGAAGACAGCCTCCCCCTGGCAAAGAATGATATAGCCATGATCTAGAAATGCTGTGGGTGCCACTGCTAAGACATGCTGACTGAGTCAATGCCAGGAGACAGCAGAACTACAGTACCACAAGAATAACTTACAGTTCCTCATCTCAAGGTAATCATCTCTTCCCTGTAACACTACTTTTACTCTTACAGACTTTGCAGATACAAACTAAAATTCAAGCTGGAAGTGGGAGGCAGATAGCATCCACAAGGGACAGAGAAAGGGAAGCAGGAAGCTTTCTTCCAACAGTTTGGCTTCAAAGCTATAGTGCTTAATGGCTAGACAAAAGCACAGCAAACTATTATTAGTCTTGGCATTCAAATCAAACAATCAAAAGATTCAAACATTTCTAAACAAAGACACACAGATCAGCACAAGCCTCCAGAAGTGTGAGAACAGCAGATCTAATAATGCAAAAGAAGTCAACCATAGGCAGTGTGCGACATTATAATTTTCAGTTTTGTTTTCAATTAAAACAGCCCCAACACTATTTCTTCATGCTTCTACAGTACAGTGTGCTATTAGAGACCTTATGATTCCACTTTAGTTAACTGGTAGACATGACAACTGATTTTCCAAATTATTGTTTCAATTACTAGTAGGACATCAACCAGAATGAACAGAGCATTGTGCCTGTTACTTTATGAATAAATGAACAAACAAATGAGACACAGGATAGAATTTAGCCCTGCCACTCTTTTTTCAAAATACAGAATAAAGACCTGAGAAGTTAATAGATCAAAACTCCCAACAAATTTTCAATGTAATTGTTAAAGTTAAGGAAAAACAGCTAGAGAATAATTAGGGAATGTCTTACCGCTTAACCCACTTCCTAAAGCAAAACAATCCATCAAGCTCCACAGTCAAGCGGGAGTCATGCTCACCACCATTCACTCTCACCTTGCTTGCCCCGTGCCCTGATAGCTCACTGGTTCTTCTCTCTTGCCACCATTCTTCTCACCACAAGGGAACACAAGAGCAGTCATGGACTAGACCACTGCAGCTACTACATTCAACATTTTTAGTACACATACTTTAAATGTGATGCCTTTTAAATAATACTTGGCTCAGCTAGGCCCAACAGCTCCACCCTCCAATAATATATTTCTGTTCTGAGTCCACCAAGCATGAACCTTATTTCAGGGCACTACACAGACAAGAAAGGGTATCAGCAGCCAATGTTAGTCCTTCACCATCTTCTCCTTTAACTTAAAAAAAGCCCATTTGAGAGCTGCACAATCAAGAAAATGAGAGCCAAGAAAGGGGTTACAGTTCACTCCTGCAGTCTCTGCTCTTGGGTAGCAGAGGTACTAGGCTGAGCCCTAGAGTCAGAGGCCAGCCTAGGCAACAAAGCAAGACCCCATCTCAAAACATGCATGCCCCAAGCCCTTCTGGAAACCCTGGGGCTGCATACTTCCTGTACTTGCCACTGTAGTACTCTAGGTTCACATAGCTCACTCCACTCAAGATTCCCACAGATGTCACTGTCACCTCTTCCAAAAAAAAAAAAAAACCCTTACTGGACATGCGGTATAAATGAGCTATGGATGCCCTTTTTTTAAAAAAAAATTTATTTATTTGTTTATTACATTTATTTATTGTGTGTGTGTAGCCAGCTCAGCCCACCATTGAGCGGGGCTGGCTGGCATGTGGTGCTGGGGGATCGAACTGCAGTTGCTGTGTTTTGCCAAGCTTGTTCCAAGTAGGTGCTTTAGACCACTGAGCCATCTCTCCAGCCCCTGGATGCCCTTTATGGAGAAAAGAATGACAAACATCCAATTCCAGCACTGGTTGTCAAAACACTTACAGAAATGACTAAAATTGCAGTGCAGAGAAAATCAATGTTTTGAGTGAGCTTCAGTATGCTGTGAATAACTGAAGGATGTCACTGTCATTAACAGACCAAGTGTTTCTGTGTGTGGCAGGCTAAGCCCATCCTGGGGGCATGGCTGGCATGGCATGTGGTGCAAGGGATTGAACCATGGTCCCTGTAAGCTTGCCTAAGCAGGTGCTTCAGACTGCTGAGCTATCTCGCCAGCCCAACAGGCCAAGTTTTACACAAAAAGACAGCTCTTGAGATTTTCACTGCCACAAAATACTCTATAAAGATCTACCCTAGTTACTACTAGTTCCAGAATCTAAAGGAGTAACTCAAACTAAAAACTTTGGCTTCTAGGAAGGCTGGGTACATTCCAAAAGACTCAATCCTCCTATGAATGACAACTATAACACTGGACAAAGCACAGCTTCCTGGAGAACAGAAAGCACACTACTGCCCCAGGGAGTTACTGTCGCTCTGACCCTGACAGCAGGCTGGAGTCAGCATCCCATCCTGAAGGACAGCTGGGACTCTTAGACAAAGCCCACAGCTGTCTAGCCTGCAAGTCTCAGGCAAACACTGCCCACAGAAACAGGAGGACACTCCACACAGGACAGCAGCAGGAACGGAAGCGCTGGCACATCTGCAGCCCTCCTCCTATAGCATGCATACTTGACACAGGCTGTAGGCTGACCAGCTAAATATAAAAGAAGTAAGCAGCACCAAATTAACTACCAGCTGAAACATTTTTCAGAATAAAAACCAAGGCAAATTATGCCAAGGCACATCCTAATCACACTGCTGATACCCAAACAAAGAAAAAAATGTTGAGAGCAGCCAGAGAAAAACCCTATATTACAAATAGGGAAACAAAAATCTGAAAAGCTTGACCTAACACCAAAAACGGTGAAATGGCTTCAAGGTGCCAGGAAAGTGGTTGTCCCTAACCTAGTGAGGAACTATTCCAAAGATAGGATGGCAAAGCCCTTAGCACAGTAATATCTGACTTTCATTATATATCTTTGCAGCTATGTGGTTATACTTCAGGAGCTAAGGTGCCTGACTCAACAGCTCACAGGATATGCAGGGGACAGGGAGGGGGCAGCCAGCCACCATTCAGATGAGCTACACTCCTCTCCTCTCAGCAGGTCTGCCTTGCTGCCCAGCCACTATTTCATCTCAGCTGAAAAGTGTTTTACTCAGCGCATGTAACCAGCATAT